CACTTTCCCGCGCCGCGACTCTTGTGGCCGGGGCCGGTCTTGGCTTAAAAATTAACCTCCTTCCCTCGCTCGCAGCCTTCAGGAGGATAACTTTGTTATGTTGATAAAAAAAAAAACACCCGCTTTGAAAAGTGTTTTTTAGTGAGACGTGTGGCTGTTCCAATTTAGTGGCATTTTCACACGGATATTGCTTTTCTCGGCATATCGATGCAGACGTAATGGGAATGTAATTTATTCGTCCACAGAAACCTTGCCAATTTTCAAGCGCCGGCGAGGGTCATGTCATTGGGATGTTCGCTCAGTCGCGTTTTAAGGAGTGTTTTGCGCGTGTATAAGGAAATCGGAGTACCCAGGGAAAAACCCACACACACGAGGATAACCCTCCAAGGTCAACAAAACAGATTCAAGCACCCACTTGCTGTCCTTACTACTCTTCTGGCCATCTCGCAAGCCTGGCGAGGTTTGGGAGTCTCCCAAACACAGGGTGTCCATGAAGTCCCGATCTATTTTATTGAACTAATGGTACCTTTGTGTATTTCTTTGCAGAACCCTATGAATAGGAATGTGCAAGAACGCGTGATGGTAGCGAGACTTGCAATAAGACGGGGCTCCTTGTCATTACGCAAACATCTTCTTGGTTCTTTCGGTAAAGTCACGTAGAAGGGAAGCAATAAAATAATAAAAATAAAACATAATAAAATAAAATAATAATTATTTTATTATGTTTTATTTTTATTATTTTATTGCTTCCCTTCTACGTGACTTTACCGAAAGAACCAAGAAGATGGATCCCTGCAGTCACGAAAGCTTTAAATCGAGATACGCAAACATCACTCGGGAGCACCTTAACGAACGTTTTACAAATCGCTGGATTGGACGCAGCGGCAACAGGCCGTGGACGGCTCCATCTCCGGATTTAACGCCTTGGGATTTCTTCGCATGGGGCCTCATCAAGTCAGAGGTATATCAAACGAGACTTACAGATCTGCAAGATTTACGAGAGCGTATAAGGGCGGCATTTGCAAAAATAACTCCACAAATTCTGCAAAATGTGTTCCGCAATGCAGCTGACGGATTTGGACTGTGCAGAGATATTGATGGTGCTCATATAAAATCCAAATGCTTAAGTCCTATTAATACATATACCTCTGATTATATCATTGCATAATTTGTCCCTAAATTACTTTGATTCAATTAAATAGATAAGGACTTCATGGACACCCTGTATACAGACAAAATAACCCCCCCCCCCATATAGCCTTAACAGACTGTTGGGGCAAGTGCTGTTAGCGAGCCCCTGTATTAGGGTGGTTGATGTAAACGTTGAGCATCAATGCCCCGTGATCGGCAACAGACAGGACAGAGGTTGTATTAAACTGCTGAGGCTCATTGATGGCTCTTAGCTGCCCACAGAGTGTCGAGTGACAGGGATTAACGTCTCTCTTAACACCTCCCGGGGCAACGTTCACTTGAGGAGTTCACGCACCACAGACGAGCACATCCTTTACCATCGCTGTCTGCCAGGGGTCAGGAAACCAGACAAGCTGAGAAGGCCGATCCAGCAAGTGAGCACCTCCCCTCATTCCTCCCAACGGATCCCTGTTAAAGCCACCGGCTTGAAATGCGTCCAATACCCGTGCAACTTTGCGTTCATGTTATTTATTGTTGCGTGCATTGTGCGGGCAGTTTCTTCATTTTTCTTTTTCTTGCAGATATAAATTTCAGCCCTTTGTATGTTTTGGCCACATGCTCGTTACATAAAAATCGAGGGCAGATTTATTATCATTGGAATTTTCATTCTTGGATACATTTGCCTTCCCAGTTGTGTATCTCTCCCGCTCTGCTTTGTATTTTGTTCATCCCAAAGAAAATGTGTGCACATACTGGAATACAATGGCAAATCTCCCCCATATAGTCTAAGATACTGTTAGGGCAAGTGTTGTTTGCGAGCACCTGAGGGCCTACACGGAACACAAAAAAGTGAGTGGCCAGCACCATGCCCAGCTGTACTCGTCTCCCTAGTGCTGATGTTTATATATCACACCAGGTACTCATTTATGGCTGAGTCAATCTAGGGGTGGTCCAGGACCGCTTCGGATAATCGTCACTGGTGTTGGGCCCTGAGCGGGAATCGGACTCGGGTCGCTGGTGTTCGTGGCGCAGGGGCGCCAACCACTGTGCCACCGCTCCTTCGCATGCACGCACGGGAAATGTCAAAGTGTGCGCCGATCTGCTTGGGCCCACCCAAAAAAAAAAACTACGGCAGCTAAAAAAACACGACTTGAAGAATGCGGCCCAGGCCGCAGAGAGCCGAGTGAAAAACGGCGTACGCTTTTGCACCGGGCTTAAAATATACCTTGCCGAGAGAGGAGCGTGACAGTACAAAGAGACTTTGTGAAGGGGGAACACATTTGCCAGGCTTGGCTTGTCACCAGTGGGGGTCACAAAAGAATGCGTGTCACAGTGTCGCCGGGTGGCTCACGTGGCTCATAGAGAGGGGAAATACTGAACTGATCATTACTGAGATTTTGGGTTAAATTCCAGGTTTTAACTGCCCATGCATAAAATCAGGTTCTAAGCACAATCACCAATGACTACACACACACACGCACAAAATAACCTTCATGCGCATTAAGTTTTCACTAGAGTTTCAATATTCCAGCTTTGAGAACTAAATAGTTTTATTGCTATGCAATGGACACCTTCAGCAGGTCATGTGAAAATCTGCTACCCACCCCTATTATGGATAGGAAGTAATTGACTTCAAAAGTCAAGGTCAAGGGGTCATCATGGCCCGGTAACTTGCCCTCCTCGGAATTAGTTCTGCGATGTCATCTTCCAGAGGCCGTTCTCTAACATGAGGTGATGAATGGCGATGGTATTTTGCTTGATGGACGACGATGTTTTCTCTACTTTTTTAAAAGAGTGCTGACGTGTGAGAATAGCGCACGCGCGTCACAGTAATTGCAAGAATGAAATGGACGAGAAGAAGGGGAGGAATCAGAGGAAAGAAAATAAACGTATAAAAATGTGCGGCATCGAGGGTGACATTAAACAAGACGGGGCCAGCATGGTGCCACGTCGAGATGTCGTGCCTTTTGTTGTTGTCGTGACAATAAGGGGAGCCGATTTTTATCTGGGGCAGGTGACATGGCCTGCACTCCCCTCGTGGTCCCGCTGTCCTCGGAGGAGAGCGTTTCATCATCGCGGCGTGCGGGCTCCCTGTGCGCCTTGTCATCGCGTCGAAAACTGTCAAACCGAAATATATATATATATTTTAAACTAAATCTAAAAAAACTTACGGGAAATGTTCCCGCGCTCTCACACACGCACGCACGCGCGCACGCGCTCGCGCGGCAACTTGACGTCAAGACGGCTCGGTTGCCGATGTCAGGGCTTGCGATAAAACGCCGCGAATCCTCTCTCTCTCTCTCTCCCGGGTGATCAAAGGCGGCCCGGTCGGCGCCGCATGTCGTACGTGACGTTCCCCCACGCCGAGCATGCGGGGCTCTCGCCACCTGCGTCCGCCCCTAGGCGATCGCGAGCCGCGAGGAGGTTGCCTGATTTTATTTACATTCCCTAGGTGCGAGCGGTTAGTGTGGTGTGTTCTAGCGGTTTAGAAGTTTTTTTTTTACTTTTTCATCCCACGCAAATCTCTGGAATTGCGCTGAATGCCGGCACAAAGGGAGGCGTGTGTTGTGGCTTGCTCAGAACTAACAAGTTCAACGCTGTCAAGCCACAGTTTGACATGTGGTCATAAGTGTGTTTGTACTACGGTTATGACCGCACGGTATATTACAGTGCTGTGTGTGTGTGTTCATAACATCGAAGAGAGCGTTCGGTATTGAACTCAACTCGTCTAAAGAAAATGTGAAATTATTTCTTCCCTGTTCAACTCTGCAAAAATAAACTTTTGTTATTTTAGAACATTTTATGAAGCAATATACATACTTTATGTACTTTGTAGTGCCGTAATATAACTTTGAAAAGAATTGGAGCAAACACAAATTCCGGCCCCCCACTCCAAAAAAAAAACCCCTATCCACGAACACAGCACCAAGTGGAAAAAGTCGAGCCTTGCCAAACAATCTTAGCAGGGCAAAGAAATGGACGTTGCTTTGTTTGTGAGCGCATATTGCCGTGAATTAAGTTCTTGGAAATTATGCGCGCGCGTGCCAACTTTTCCGAGCATATTTTTTTCGGTCTTATTCAACGAACTGTGCCAGAGCGTTGCCAAAAACATATTTCACATCTTCTTGGCGTCCGTTCTTGGCAATGCCACGCACAGAGTTATGGCAATGTTCACGTGTGGCACGTGATTAGATAAAGTCAAACGGAGGCAGATCGTATCTCTTGATGTAGTCCAACATCCTCGTTGGAAGCGAGTCGATGCACACGTGCGTGCATGCGCGCGCATTTGCATGGGCCTCCATGCGCTCGTCCGCAGACTTTCGTCTTGGCAGCCCGCGTGCGTGCACGTGTGCGTGCGTGTATGGGGAGCGGTGGTCTAGTGGATAGCGCACTGCACTACGAACCTGGCCAGCCGAGTTCAATTCACACTCACGACCAATATCAGTGGCAATAATTTGATCCCGCCCTGGGCCTCCCCTAGATGTTATCTCCCTTGCCTCGTATGCACGAGGTCATGGGTTTGATGCCTGACGCCTGTATATAAAGAGTTGGCGTGTTCTCCCCGTGGTCATGTGGATTTTTGTCCGGGTCCTCCGGTTTTGTCCCTCGACATTTAGAAACGTGCTTTTCGAGTATTTGGCTGCTGTCAATTTTCACATGATAAGCGACTTCGTTGAGCTATCAGTTGTAGCCAGATCACTTTTAAAAAAGAGCTGCATAGCTCAGTGGGCTTTACCTGATCAAATGTAATTTATTTATTTATTGATTGCTTGAGTATCTGCTGTGGTGTGTAAACATCAGCATGAGTGAGACAAAAGCGGCCAGTCTGTGAAGGCTAAAACGGGGGGTCGTTGTCTTTGTGTCTGCAGAACGGGCGTCCGTCGCCCAACAGAAGCGCCAGCAGGGAGCGGCGGACAGCAGAGTCGAAACGCCGGCGCCTGACGTGGTGCGAGCGATCAACGCGATGTTCTCCACCCTGACGTCTCGATCAGGTGAGCGGAGCGGCAGCAGTGCCACGCGGTCTGTGGGAGCCAGGTGCACGGCTCCACCTCGTCATGCTCGCGGCAGGGTGCAGTTTTCCCTCGTTCTTTCACGAGCTTGCCCTCCACGATTTTGGCTGTCCGCGAATCGCATCTGGAACTCTTCCGCGACTGCATCGAGAGAGAGAGAAATCAAGTGATGAGATAAAGTGATGAGAGAGAATGTGATGCGAGACAGTGATGAGATCATCGTTATTGCATCCTTCTACTGCACAGCATTATTATAATTTAAAAGTACATGAATGTGTGTGTGACAATGTGTGACGTCACTGACTGTGTGTGACAATGTATGACGTCACTGACTGTGTGTGACAATGTGTGACGTCACTGACTGTGTGACAATGTGTGACGTCACTGACTGTTTCTAGATTTGAAGCTTTTGTGACTGCAAGGATTCATACTCTTTGGTTTTTTCGGTAAAGTCGCGTAGGTTAAAAGAAAACAAATAAATTAAATCACGACGTTTCGGAGGCAACAAAAGCTTCCGTCTTCAGGTGAAACCGTCACAGCAAAATTGCTGTATCAAGTAAAAGACGGAAGCTTGTGTTGCCTCCGAAACGTCCTGATTTAATTTATTTGTTTTCTTTTAACACTGACTGTGTGTAACAATATGAGACACCGCTGACTGCGGTGGTGACGGTGACTTTTCCAACGTCCCAAATCTGAAAATTGCCCAGAAATAAAAATGACAACAACAAAAAGAGAATAAAAACCCAGTACAACAGCTGCCTCCACTCTACTCAGATTGTGAAGGTCTCTGGTGGGTCAGCGAACTCTCGCTCGGTCAAATAAAGGGCATCGATCGCCTGGGTAAACGGCAAGCGGAGTGGCGAGGCAAGGAGAATCATTCTTTTTCTTTTACCAGGTAAGGCCCACCGAGCTTATAGAGCTCTTTGTCAGAGGCGACCTGGCTATGACAATGAAGTGGCTTATCACGTGGAAATTGTATCGCTGCCAAATGACTCTAAACACATGATGTTGATTCTAAATGTGGAGGGAAAAACCGGGAAGACCTGGAGAAAAATCCACGCGGCCACAGGGAGAGAGAGAGACACCGCAAACTCCAAATACACAGCAGGCGTCAGGGTCGGGATCGAAACCATGACTTCCCGTATACCAGGCGAGGTAGTTAAGATCTCGCTCCCCTCCTTCTCCGCTCCCTCCGCGGGGTCGGTGGCGGTGTTCGGTCGCCCCCAACGCCGCCGGGGAACGTGAGCACCCCGTGCGTTTGGTCACCGAGCGACATGGCGCTCGCCGCTCAGGGCTCTGAACTCGATCGCACGGCGTTGAATTTCCATTGCGACGGGAGGCCCTCTCCATCCCGCGGGTTGGCCAAGGCTGGGAGGCACGGACGTCGGAGCGTTAAGTACAGGATAACAGTGGCTTTTGCTCCACCGCCCTCTGCTGACAATGTAACCCTCTTGCGACCTGTTTTATATTAAGTCCTCCCGTCAACTCCTGTAGGTTTTATTACCATTTTGTTGTTGTTAAAATGGCTGTTGCCGTCAGCAGATCTGAGACGGTCAATGTTCGTCTCGTGTCGTTATTCCTCCAATTACATTTTTTGGGAAAAATCTCCTCTAATGTTGCTCCGGATGACGGTGGCGAAAGAGCGACTGCTTCAAGCGACTCCCCTGGCAATGTGTGCGTCGTTCCTTCCTGCAATGTTCAGCACAGCTCTCTCTCTCTCTCAGTGGGGCCTCACGGCCGAAGGGTCTTCTTATTTGAAGGAACTCCCAACGCAGGGGCCGACAAAATCGAGGGAAAGGGAAGAAAGAGTCACGCACGTGCCTGCATTCCATAACGCTTCCTCAGCGTGTTTGTTCACGGAAGTATTTAATTAGAGGTGGTAGTAGTAGTAATAATAACGGTAGCGCTCGCATCGGCCGCACGGTGAGCAGTATGGCCGCACGCTGCGATGAGACAGCAGGGCTCAGCGCCTTGGCCACAGGAGCGGGATGCCGTGCCCGGTCATTTTAACGCTCGTCTATATTTTTTTTGTCCACGCTTTGGGTTAACCCTCATGGATCAATTTGGCTGGATTCATCTCGAAGTGGCAGCACGACTTCATAGCAACGTTTCGTTCGTATCGGATGATCTTTACAAGAGCTATGATGACCCCAATTTACAGATGGTGAGGCAGACAGACGGACGGACAGAGAGTTAGAGAGAGGCAATTCATAAATGCTTTTTAATCTTTGTTAGAAACCAAAGAAATGTCGATCAGGGCGACATAATAGCACAGGGGCGGGGAAAGTGTGACCCAGCCGCGGCCAGGTTACCACACCGCGCGGGTTGTGCCTATTCATTAACGACGCCAACCCACAATAGGCAAATAGGATTAAGTAAGTTCATTAGGCTTAGGCAGCCCTCTTTTATTGGATTCCTCTCGTGGCCAGATCATCCAGGGATTTCATCAAGTATCAAGGCCGTAATTGCCGTGGCTTTGCTGGTAAATTGTCTCTCGCGGGTGTGAGAGATTGCGTGGAAATTTGATAGAGGGATCAGCGAAGGGCTTGCGTGGGATGTTGATGCGTGTGACCGAGCCGGGGATATTAGAGCAAAGGCAAGAAGAAGAAGAAACACCACCGCAAACGGAGAATTACATTTTCTTTTATAAACGCTCTCCCACCAACGCGACCGCAAACCACCGTGCAAAGCGGCGGCACTCGTGGGATGGTGCAACGCCGCGTGGGTAAACGTATTGCGAGCTGGACTCGGTGCCCGGCTTTCGGAGGCAGCGCTTGATACTAAGCCTGTGGTAAGGTTTCCTAACCCTCGGCCCACCCTGCACCTGATGGTTTAGTATCGCGATTTGGTGTCGCGATTCGATTCAAGAGCCTCTCTGTTTTTTTGGTTTGCCACGTTGGTACCATCTTTATTATTTGTTTTGTTTTTGTCTTGGGTGGGGGGGGTTTGTCTTTTTTCTGTCTCATCTGTTCTGTTAGACCAAGGGTAGCAGTAGGGAAGAATCCAAATCAATCCACGCAACGCACGATTTTGAGCACGTATCGTTCGGCATGAGAATTTATTTTCAATCGATGAATTTAATCGTTACTTGCCTAGTCGATGTGGGCTCCTACCACTGTGGCACCACGCGCGCGCGCGTGTGTCAGAGTGTCTACAACAAGAGCAACACGACAGCTGCTGCTCACCGCTTTAAATGTCAGCGACGTCACAAAGTGCTCGTGCCAAAGTAAGTGCACTTCGATTCTGTGCGGAGTACCGAAGGCTCGCTGGCACGAGGTCACAGGGACGGACCGAGCTGCCGTGGCTCAACAGACCGGAGTGACTGACAGGAGCACGACCTGCTCTCCCCGCCGTGCCAGCCCGTCGCCGTGTTTTATCCGCCCAATGCCCCGCTCATTGTTTTGAGCCGAGAGTGGTGCTCATGAACAGCTGCGCGTCCGGGCACACACGCACACATGCGCTCGAGATATGCCGGTCGTGGCGGCAACACGCATTGGGCGTCCGGCACTTTTCGCGACGAGGAGTTGGTAGAGCGCGTGTATATGTGATTCCCAAAATCCGCTCGGCTGTTGAGTTGGCCAGGAGATGGCAGTACAGCAAGAGGGTTTGTTGAACCTGTCTGTGGGGATCCTTTTCACGTTGTCCCATCGTGTGCTTCGGTTTCCTCTGGGTGCTGTGGTTTCTTCCCACATGTGAAACGTGCGTGAGCAATAAGGAATTTGCCAAACCTTCCAACGGAGAACTCTGCTGACAAAATAGTCGAGAAACTCAGTGAACATGTCCTGTATGAATAAATTATATTAATGTTGTTTTCTTATTTATATAAATACACACATACAACACGGGAGGCGGGGGGGAGGCAGTGGCACAGTGGTTAGCACACTGCAATCTGAACCGGGTGACCTGGATTTAACATGAAATCCAGTCCTGGAGCCCTGATGACTGAAACAGCATTGGAAGGCCTTCATCCAGCAGCGGATTGACAAGTGAATTGTATTATCATGAATACCGTTATTATTATAATTCACCCACACAGGGAGGGCAGACAGACGGACAGACGTGCACGCGTTACACTGTATGGAGATAAATACTTTAAATAAATAACCAAAAAGGAATCCCGAATTCTGGCGGCCCGGTGCCTCCCTGCCAGGACCATTATCCGCTGACAGCGAGTAATGAAAAGGTTGCCATGGTAGCGCTTTAGAATAAGGGACGTGGGAAGAGAAACGCAACCCTGTTTTTTGGCTGCAACCTCGCCTCACAGACGATGTCGCTCCCTCGCTCTCCTCTCCCCCCCCGCCATGCTACCGCCAAACTCGCTCCCCGTTTTTTTCGATTTCACCCCCCCCCTGTATTCCCTCCCCTTCTTTCCAGGCCCCATGAAAGGCCTTGGCAAGGGACCGAGACGTATTTGCCGAGCGGCTTTGCCCCTAATGGAAATGTCAAATGGGAAGCAGATGAGGGGTGGGTGGGTGGGTGGGGGGGCTGTTGCGGGCCGCACGGGGTGCGTGCGTGTGCAGCATTGATCGGGAGTTGCGCTAAACAGCATCGGTTCGCGCATTGTTTCGGCTGCGGTTGTTGGCCGAGAGAGAGAGAGACAAAAAAATCAAAAGTGGGTCGGGGATGCAGGGTGGTGGTGGTTAGGTGGGGAGTGGTGGTGTAGCGGTTAGCGCGCCGCGCTACGAACCCGACAACCCGGGTTCGAATTCCCGTTCACGGCCAGCACCAGCGATGATTATCTGAACCGGTCATGGGCCTCCCCACGTCCATTCAGCCTCAAACAAGTACCTGGTGCAGTGTGTAAATGTCGCCACTGCGGAGGCAAAGGCGGCCGTGCGTGGTGCTGGCCACCCACCCTCTCGTGTGCTGTGTCGGCCTTCATAGGTGCTCACGAACAGCACTTGCCCCAACAGTTTGTTAAGGCTACACAGAGGGTGGTGATTAAACCCCCCCCCCCCCCTCAACCACCCTCCAAAAAAACCCACCACCGCGACAAGAGACAGAAAAGAACAAAAATGTAGAAATGTGACGGAGAGTCGTGACAGACCGCCCAGATGTCTGGCGGCCTCGCGCTTTGCAACTCCGCATCGCAGCCGTCTGCCGGCCTCCTTGACCCCTCGTCAGCGTCGGGGGTTTCTGCGCAGCATCGCTCCACGCTCCCTCATCACCACGGCCCCTCCAGAATCGACTCGGTGTCGTTGATTTGCCGCATTGGCGCAGAGTTTACATTTTGGCACTTTGGTATATCCCATGACGTGAAGAGGTCGCCAATGCAGGGTGTGATTTGACGAATTGTTGAGATTTGTGGTGGTGATTTCATGTATTAATATAAAAAACACAAAATTTACCTTCCTATAAATTGAGCAGCCTCTCGTGGCTGGCAGGGTCACGTGAACCCATTATCTACAACGTACACAAATGAAAAAACTTTGTTCCTTACACATGCGAGCGATGCGCGCACCGCGAGCTTAACGATGGATACGAATCCTTGCGTCTTTAACACGGCTTACTCGCGAGCGTACTGTCGGCAGCATTCGGCGTGTTGTACGGTGGAGGTATGCTACGTGGTTTTGATCTTTCCGCCTTTACCGTTTACAGATGCGGAGGGTCGAACACAAGCCTCCCGCGTGTTCACAATCCCGCCCAGACAAGGGTAAGGCAACCCATCTTACGCCACTCTCCATTACAATATAACTCGATAATTTTGCTAAGTGGGATGTGGCTTCTCTCCCTGCTGTCCCTCCATCAACTGGAATTAACTTCCCCCAGCCGTCCATGCTGTTGACTCCCATCGCTGCGGACGATTGCCTCTTTTTTCCGTAAAGTAAATATGCCCACCGTCTGGAGATGTCGCATTCGTTACGCTACGTAATATCCACGCGGACTTCCACGCCAATGAGCGGCCCCTCTCGTTCAGCAGTCGGCCCTTTCAGCGGCACGCCTGCCTCCGGTATTCTGCTTCCAAGCAGAGGTGGGCGTAGTGGTGCACGGCTGGGACCCAGCACTTTGGAGGACAGGCTTTCTAGATCACGCCGATTCGTGAGACTCCCGAAACCCCATGTGTTTCCGAGGCGGCTAAGAGGTGGTGGAGCTTTGTTAGAATCGGAATCTGAATATATTTCCTGGAGAAATCCGATGAGGGGCGGGTCAGAAAGTTAAAACAACAAACACTACAAAACCTGATAGGAGTGCTTATTATGCCTCTGCTTTCTCCCGGTAGCACACTTAACAATGGAACTTAACAATGTTACACACTTACCAATTGAATCGGCCCAAACATCTCATTGCAAGTCCCTCCTGATGAATGCGGACAGCAGGGGGTGTAGTATCCATAATACAGGTTTTTTGGGTTAGATCGGGTAAATATATCAATGTCCTGTTAAACCTGCCACTACTCGACACAGCTAATTAGTAAGGTTTGTCACGTAAAGAGAACATGCCAATTCGTGACTAGTACAGCACACCGGTGTGTTGGAGAGCCAAGCCACAGCATTTACAATCTGAGTACGACTTTCGCCAGTAATTACAACTAGCTTCATCAGCCATATTTGTGGAGAAGTCCGCCTGTTTCATTCCTTAAATAGAGGGGTAGATGTCATGACAACGCTTGTGTGCTCTTATTGCCAATTCGTTTGAAACGAATTGGCGTGTTCTGTTTGCGTGACAAACTGTACTAATTGGCTGTGTCGGATGGTGGCGGGTTTAACAAGACATTGATATATTTACCCGATCTAACCCAAAAAACCCATATTATGGATGATATTGGTCACGAAACCCTCCGCGTTAAACTGGTGTAGTATTATTTGGTTTGCAATTTCTTGTACAAAACGGAGAGAATAACACGCGCCGTCTCGCTCCCGCTGCCGCAGGGCCCAGAACCTCCGGCGCTCCGAGTGCGGCGGTTCGGCACCGGTGGACGCGCTGGAGCTGACGGCCGTGGAACGGAAGGTGAAGGCCGGCCGCTACCGTAGCGTGGACGACTTCGACTCGGACATCTCGCTCGTCTTCAGGACCGCCGAGGTAGAGGCCTCGGCCGTTGCCGTCGTCCTTCGGTTTCCGCACATGACGCGAGCGCCGGCACAAGGGGGGGGAGCGGGGAACCGGAGGGCTGAGGCCACCGACTCGCTGCGCTGGAGAACCCGGTTTAAAACCCGAGCGGCCGATACCTGAATTCCGATCGCAGGCTATCAGCGGTTGCCGGCAGATCGCTCTGACCTCTGAGCCACCCAGCCACCTCCGGCTTTCACCTCGCCTTGAACGTTGTCTGAAAGAGAGGGAGAGATCGATGGGTTGACTCGCACGGGATCGATTCCCACTTGATTAGTTAGCACCCGCGTCAATCCATATCCATGTCATTATCTCTCAGCGCCAGGTGCCGACCGTGGAGAAACAAATAGAAATGACACAGGCACCCCGCCCAGCACCCAGGCCACCCCAAGAATTGCCATCATGGACCCTGACACATGACCTCGCCTTTTTTTCCCTTTCCAATTAGTCGTTTTTTTTGTTTTCTCCCCAATTGTATTACATTTGAGCTATTGGCATCGTCATGAGACTAAGAAAACCATTTGGAACTCTCACCAAGCAGTGAATCACCCTGTGCTTGAGCACGGCGCACAGAAGGAGTTATCACAAAACCACCTGGGGTATCTCCCGTGTGATGACTCCGCTTCAAGTGCCCATTTGTATCTACATGCGAGGAAATGCGCTCTCCCACACGCACTGCTACAGATGAATGGATTTTTGATCGCCAAATGAACGGGAACGCCGTATTTAACATTCACGTGCTTCATGCGCAGTCGTTGGAACCCAAGCCACAGCTGGGAACCCAGTCGTAATCACGGGCAGCTTTGAACTCAGATTCAAACCCAGGATGTGAGCTCACTGACTCAGGTTCGATGACCCCTGCGCAACCCGGTCATCCTCTCCGGACATTCAGCCTTAACTTTTTCTACCCAAAGACAAAGATCCCCCGTATAGCCTGCAACAGACTGTTTGGGCAAGTGCTGTTGGCGAGCACCTATGAGGGGGTGGGTGGCCAACACAGCGTGTAGCGCCTTTATCTCCCCAGTGGCGATGTTGATACACCTTACCAGATACTTATTTGAGGCTGAATCGACTAAGGGGAGGCCCAGGACCGGTTCAGATAATCGTAACTGATGTTGGCCATGAGCAGGAATTGAACTCGGGTCGCCGGGTTCGTAGAGCAGCTTAGCGCTAACCGCTATGCTACCGCTCCTCCACTTTTCTCCCCACACCCGCTGCCTCTACCACAACCACCGCCACCGTCACCGCAGAGGTGGCACGGGCGGCGGTCCCCGCTGGGCCGGGAGCTGTGCCGCCTGCGTAAGGCGTACCAGCGGGCGCGCGACTCGGTGGCGCCGCCTTGCCTGTCTGCCGGAGACGCCGAGGAGGAGCAGGAGCCGCCGCCGACGCCGACGCCGCCGCCGCCGCGAGCGGACGGCAGGAGGACGCGCGCCGATGCCCGCGCGCCCGACGTGACGTCGACGGCCGGGCCCGGGGCGGCCGAGTCGCCAGGACGTGAGCGACAGGACGACGACAGGGACGACGACATCATCCGCTGCATCTGCGGCCTTCTGCGTGACGAGGGCCTCATGATCCAGTGTGACAAGTGCCAGGTGCGTCACACCCCCAGCCCCCCCCCCCCCCCCCCCGTACCCCCACGAACCCAAACTGCACGGGTGCTGGCGCACGCGAGTGGGCCCCGGTCGTGAACACGGTTCGAACACGGTCACGATCGGCCGTGTCGGTCGCCCCGCCTTGCCTTTCCCCGCGCGTTGTGCGCTACCGTCCGTGCAACTGTGAAGCACTCGGGTCGTACCGCTCATTGTTCGGCAAACGTGTTTGATGTTTTGTTCGTCGTGGAGTGGCACGGCCCAAAAACGCGTGGGGAGAGCCACACAGCGGCTCAACCGCGACAACCCTATGCGGGATCCGTAAATGCCAGCGTGATGGGAAACAGAGGGTTGCATTTTTGGTAAATTTGCGTACGGCACTTTGTCTCTTCTTCCTTCACGTCTCGTAAGGCTAAACTCTGGAACTCATCACCCTACTGCTCTCTCATCAATTCTAATTACAACGTGCAATCTTCTTGGTCTGCTCTCAGTCGCCTGCCACTTTGTGAGTTGTGCCACCAATAGTGATTAAATGAACAACTGACACGGTCCTTGCATCTCAATAACGTGGAGAGCACTTTCGAAAGTACTGTACAATGTTAACTGGAATATCGCTGTTAAAGAAAAGCACATTGCGTGTTGTACAAACCATCGCTGCTGTCCACCACATTCACCACCCAGAAGCCTCCACACGATGGCTCATTCACTGGCCAAGCACCAAATATATAAACTGTTTAAACTCAACTAGAAACTATAAAACTATTTAAACTATAAATCTTTTTGTTATTTTACCAGGTAAGGCTGACTGAGCTATATAGCTCTTTTTCAGAAGCGACCTGGCCACAAATGATAGTTCAACGAAGTCGCTTATCATGTGGAAATTTACAGCAGCCAAATACTCTAAACACATGTTGATTCTAAATGTGGAGGGGAGAAACCGGAGGACCCGGAGAAATATCCACGCGACCATGGGGATAACATGCAAACTCCAAATATACAGGTGTCAGGGTCGGGAACCCACGACCTCCTGTATACCAGGCAAGGTAGTTAACATCTCACCACCGTGGCACCCCTACTCCTAGACCGTCCAGCACACGTGCACGTGCACGCACGTATTAAGATTCTCTCCACCCTTACAAGGTCTTATTTGTAACGGAACTTTTTTTCACATTTCCCAATTATATTGCAATTGTACATTCGGTATCACAATAGGAAATGAGAAATATTTATTTGGAACTCTCACTTCAAGCAAGCAGTGGATCACCCTGTGTCAGAGAATGGCCTTGGAAAATGAAGTCACAGAATGACCTCCGAGGTCACACATCAATAGGCCTCATTATCCACACTCGTGGCATTCCATATTTTTTGTGCCCTGCAAAGATTGTTCATCGCATGGCAGTGAATTTTTTGTTCATTCTCAGAGCTGGAATAAGCCAAATTAAGTGATACACCATTTTTGTTGTTGCTATAATTGGTGACAGGTATGAGACCACAGACGCTTCAGAGCCACGTTTAACCACGGGTGGCTGATAGCCAGACTCGAACGCAGGAACTCGGTGGAGCCAAGCGGCCTCCTATACATTTCCTATCTTTCATTTTATTAATTAAAGAATTCATTCAGTTACATTTCCGACGAATCTTACATTCCAACAGTCAACATACTGCCCGACGTTACAGGTCGTGCCCGTCCTTGTTAACCGAGCTCATTGTTGGGGATTTTTTTTCAAGGGTTGGCTCAACGCTTCTTTTAATAAACACCCGAGGTGTAAAGAAGAAGAAGAATCTAGGAGCTGCGCCACGCGTTGACCTCGGGGAAATGTCCCACAGTTACCGAGGTGTACGCCCTGGTCACACTTGGCACAGAGGGGGTCTTGGACGTGAGGGGGGGGCGGGTGGGAATTGAACGAGTTATTTAAAGTCTTCCTGCTTTCCTTTCAGCATGTATCCCTCTATTTTTTGTTCGTTGTTGTTATTGTTGTTCGGTAAAAATGTAACCGCGCGTGTCGTCTGTGGCGGCAGGTGTGGCAGCACTGCGACTGCATGCAGATCACGGCCGACGTCGAACGTTACCTGTGCGAGGAGTGCAACCCGCGCGCCGTCGAGAGGGTGAGTTCCCTGACGTCGCCCTGCCCGTCACGTTGCCTCCGGCACGGTTGGCTACGTGTCGGCGCGAAATAAATTCTGTGTACGTACACACACGTACGTTAACGCATACACTGCCGCTGCCTTGGGCTGGGCTCTATCTCGCCGTGCGCACGTGTTCAGCTCTAGGAATCGCGCGTTGCTGTGTTTACCTCCTTATTATCATCCAGAGCCGTCGAACATTTTTGCCAGGCCCCCAAGTCCTATTTTTTTAATTAAATGTTTAACTTTACTGCATTGTCGTTTCAGCATCCGCACCCAACTTCTCTGTTGCATTTCGGATATTGGGGGGGGGTCGCATTACTGCCCAAGAGCAGAGGCAGCGCCTTCGGCCATCGGCGGCTGCGACTAGGACTAGGAAAGGATGTATTGTTAACGGCTTTAACATAAAATATTAAAAACGAGGGAGCAATTCATTTTGTTTCCGAGCATTTCACGGCAACATGTGGTGACCCATAACCTATGGATAATGCATAACATGCTACGCAATGCAGATGATGGACCCACGGGGGCAGGAGTGTTGGGTAACACAGCAAACGTGGGGTTAACTGACTCCGTGACGAGGAGGGGGCGGGGGGCCGTCAGTCGGGTGGATGGGGTGGGGGTGGTGTAGCAGGGACTTAGGGGAAATGTAACGGCCGTTGTGTGGAGGAGCTGTAGCCAAGGGGATAGGATACCAAGGCAGCTTAGTTTAACACACCATGGACGTAAGTTTGAATCCTGGCCTCGGATTACGGAAAATTGTTATCTTATATTTTTTAACCCATCCCCTCGGCTGCAGCATCTCTCCACTCAATGGCACTGTTTTTCATTAAAATCATCTACGGCACATTACATTTTACTTGACTAAACATTACTAATATAGTACATGTATTTTACTCTTAAATTGAAGTCAATTGGCTTCTGCCCCCTCTCCACCAGCATTTTTATGTGGAGCAAAAGCTCTCGGGGTGGCTCCCCCCTCCCAGTCTGCCATGTGGGGGTTGGGGGTGGGGGGTCAACCGCCTCCCTGCGCCCGCTGTGCCACCTCGCCGCCTATGCTGGCGCATGCGGGGAAGCCGTGGCCCTTTTGCGTGGGTAGCTGGCACGGAGGTGGAGTAGCGAACGCGTCGGGCGATGTGGGAGGAAAGTGTTGGTGGAGCAGCTGCGTTGGTCCTCGCTGTTGAATTTATGTACATGTGCTGGACTTCTTTACCACCGTACGTAGCCAACTGTGCTCATCGGAGGTGCGGTTGTTACAGGAGGTGCTCATGATGCCGCAGCCAGAATTGGCGCAGCCCGGCTGCACGTACTACATCTGCCTGCTGCGTGACGGCCTGCTCCTGAAGCAGGGTGAGTGCACTGCGTTTGCCCGTCCATCGTCGGTCATGATCTGTCTGCTGTTGGATGAAGGCCTCCCCAAGCCGTCACCGTCTTCCACGGTCACACGATGCTGCGATTCATCTGGCTCATGCACTTGTACTGATTGCATCGCCTCATCTCTGCACCCTCCTGGTAAAATGGAGGTTGGAAGCCAGCGGAGGTGTTCCTCGACAAATAGAGTGCGTTTAGGATTTGTTTGTGACTTGTCCCATTTTACAATGTTTTTCCTCGACTCCTCCTGCACCTACCCATGACCTCTGCGTTCCCCACGCTAATGTCTTGCCCCTTGAGATATTCCCTCTTCTCCCTCCACGCCCCACATGCTGCCCCCCCCTCACCCGTGCTCACATCCTCCTCCCCATGCCCCCCCACCATTCCCCCCCCCACCCCGGCACCACCAGGTGACTGCGTGTACCTCATGCCGGAGCTGCCGCAGCGGAGGGGCGCACGGGGGCAGCCGCTCCGCCAGGCCTACCACCTCCGCACGGCTGCCACGGGGCCCACCCAGCTCGACATCTTCCGCATCGAGAAGCTATGGAAGAACGACAAGTGAGTCGGGGGGACCCCTGGCGGGGGCGGTGGGGGGCGGTGGGGGGCGGTGGGGCGATGCAGGAGGAGGACTGCGTGAAGGATCGCAGGCGTGGGTGTGGCACGGGTTGCCCAGGACGCACGCACGAGAGAACGACGCTTAACAGGGCGACGTCCCTTACGCTCTCTCTTCCCAACCCCTCCCCCACCTCCCACCTTCTTGCCCGGCTTCCTCGCGAACATTTCGCAGGGGCGAGCGTTTTGCCTTCGGACACCACTACCTGCGGCCGCAGCAGACGCACCACGCGCCCTCGCGCCGCTTCTACCGCAACGAGCTCTTCCGCGTGCCCATGTACGAGGTGGTGCCACTGCGCGCCGTCGTGGAGCTCTGCTGGGTCATGGACCTCTACACGTACTGCAAGGGTGAGCAGTGCAGTGACGCACACACATACGCACGCACGCGCGTACAAGCCAGCGCGTCGGACGTTGCTTTTTACGTGGCGCTGTTGACGCGATTCATCCGAACGCGCTTTACAATGAAGACGCTTGACGCTAGTGAACAATAATGGCCACGTAAATTATTATCCGGCTGAAGGATAATCAAACAAATCCGTTTGATTATATTCAAGTAAAAATATTCGACTGTGGTAGCTGCATTCTCGACGTGACTTGGGACAGAGTTCCAAAGGTAGGGAGCAGAACAACTCAAGGCCCTTGCTCCTCCTCACCTCAAACGACGCCTCAGAACAGCCAAAAGTTCAACGTTCGCCCATCTCCGTGCCTGCGGTCCATTGGTAATGGAGGCATTCGGGCTAGTCGGTGGATCGTGTAAAGAGATCTGCGGAACCTCCCGAAACTTGCTGGGCCGCGAGGTGACCCAAGAGCTCACAGTACCGAGGATCAAGATCGATATGTCATCAGTACCTGGGGAAAATGCTCAAAATGGCATTTCTTATTAGACGCGTCTGTTGTGAGCTCAAAACTTGACTGGCACGGCAGCGCAGTGCAGTCACTTATCAAAAGGCCAGAGGCGGAAACCCGCGCAGAGAACTGGAGCGGTTGTTGTTTTGTTCGATCCACGGCGTACATGACAAGAAATGAGACGTGACAAAAAACACTGATATATGCCCCGGGAAGTTTGCCAACCAAAGAAATTACTTTTCCTTTGTCCTCTGTGGCAAAAACAGCGTGAGCGTTCTCTCCCGCTCACGCGCGCACACAGAGCGCAAATACGATGGTAATTGTGAATCTCCAACTTCAGGACAACGTGAAAACACTTAGGCATGGCTGACGCTACCCACCGCCGCCCCCCCCTCTCACTGCCTCCCGACTCGGGCCCATGCTCGCTGTCGCCAACTAAACGCTTCCCTGCTGCAGCACTGCCGCATGATCAGTGCTGCAGAAATATAATTATAATAATCAAATAATTATCTTATTTATCCAGGAGAACAAGACTGAGTCGTATGACTCTTTTTTTTTGGAGGATCCTGCATCGGGCTATTATTTTAAAATGTTTCCAGACAATTATTGATGAGTTGTGTTTATTATACAAGTGGGAGGAGCACCCGGAGAAAACCCGTGCATGCGAGGCAGCACTCTATCCATGTACAGATGGAAACAGATGGCGATTAGTCCACTTGCACTACTGCCTTCTCCTGGCGAGACAGGGTACATAGCTCACGAGAAGGGAGTTTCACACGATCCGTACGGTGATCCACCAACCCTCGCTGCTGCCTCCACCAGTGCTGGCTTAGAGGCAGTCACGTGCAGCAGCAGCACAGCCGCCACCACTACCCAACTGCAGGGAAGGCACGGCTGTAACCTCACTGTTCCGTGTCGACTGCACACGCTTGCCGGGGTCACGTATGCATCTGTCTACTAATATGTTTCGTGCGGGCGTGGGATTAATGATGTGTGTGTGCATGTGCGTGCGTGCGCGTTCGTGCAAACATGCCTTAAACGGGCATGCGTGCGTGCGTGTTTTAGAGCATGCGTGCGTGTGTATTCGAGCGTGCGTGTGCGTGCGAACGTGTGAGAGTTTGCGCTGAAGCGTGAGTGCGTGCGTGCATGCATACAGAAGAATGTGTGCGTGCATACATACATTGTGCCCGTGTGCGTGCATGCACGCATCTGTCCATGCACGCGTGCATTAACTCATGCGTGCCCGTGTCCCTGTGTGCGTGTGTGTGTGCATCCGCGTGCTTGTATGCGTCCCGCGGAAATCGCATGTACAGGGAGGCCAAAAGGCGCCGAGGAGCAGGATGTGTACATCTGCGACTACCGCCTGGACAAGTCGGCGCATCTCTTCTACAAGATCCACCGCAACCGCTATGCCACATGCACCAAGCCCTACGCCTTTGATCACTTCGCCAAGAGGCTGACGCCCAAGCGCGACTTCTCGGTACGGCCGGAGCGCAGCGCGAGCGGATTTAACGCGACGGTGGTGGCCAAACCGCCGGACGGCTCGACTAAAAAAAAACGAAAGGGGGTGGGGGTGGAGGTGGCGATTGGGGGGGGGGTTGTCGGGGTGTGGAGACGATCGCCGGATTTTGTTCGCTGAGCTCTGTCGCTTGCGTGTCACGGTGAATGTGCGCGGACGGTTTGGAAATGTAGTGATGACACCCGTCTTCTCTGTCTGTTCTAACACAGCCTCATTACATTCCAGAAAACTACAAGAGGAATGGGGGAAGGTGAGATAATGCCAATTATATTTCTTGCGCTCACAGATTTGCTACTTTAACACGATTAACCAAGAATGAGCGTCGAATGTGCTGACACTTTTGACAACGCGCATGAATAAAAACACTCGTGCAGAGCATTTACGATTTTCGTAGGCATTGCAGATGAATGTAAAAGTGCTTTTCAGCTGTCACATGTTTATTGCTACAGGCATTAATTAGCAACAGCAATCAAAAGACACATTTTCAAATTGAGTTTACCTCCATGTGTCATGTACCACTGAGCCACTACCACACTGAGATCCTGGGTTCGAATGTGGATCGCAGCTATCTCCAATGAAACCAAGCGTGGGCGAGCTGATTGTCTCAGCCTGGTCGCCACCTATTTGCACAAATCCCCTCCCCCCCCCTACCGATTACATTGCATTTGTGACACTTTTATTTCTTCCTCCCCCCACCCCCACGAAGATCTTCCTGGAAGAGCGGCAAACTCAAGCTCAAGGCCAAGCAGGATGTGAGCGCGAAGAGCAAAGGCCTCCCGGCCAAGGCGCGGCCGCCCTCTGTCCCCGAGAGCCCAGCGAGCGACGGCGCCGCTGCAACGCCGCCGCCGCCGCCGCTGCCGCCACGTGCCCCACCAGTGCGCGCAGCGGAACGTAGGGAGGAGAGCACAGCGACCCGAACGCCCGGCGCGCAGCCACCGGACGACGACAAGCGAAGGGAGCAGAGGCAAAGGCTGGACGAAGTTCTCCTGCACCTCCTGGCCAAGCTGCCGGGGAAAACGGGTAAATTGCTGGCGACCGTTTGGCCGTCATCGATAATGACTCGCGGATTTTCACGAGCCCACCGGGGGAACGCCGGATAGCGGGGGGGTGGGGGTGGTACTGTGCGTGTGTACATGCGCGTGGGGAGGGGTAGTGTAGCGGTTCGCGTGCTGCGCTGCGAACCTGGCGACCCGAGTTCAATTCCCGCTCGCGACTAACAAAAGTGACGATTATCTGAACCAGCCCTGGGCCTCCCCTAGGTCGACTGAGCCTCAAATGAGTACCTGGTGCGGTGTGTAAACATCGCCACTGGGGAGGCAAAGGTGGCCGGGCGTGGTGCTGGCCACCCACACCTCGTGCACCGTGATGGCCTTCATAGGTGCTCGCTAACAGCACTTCCCCCAACAGTCGGTTAAGGCTATACGGGGGATCTTTGTCTTTGTTTTGACATGCGTGTACATGCGTGTACATGTCTGTGCGCACGCATGTGTGTGCAGTGTCTGTAAAGATGGCTGCCTATAGCGATTACATAATGACTATATTTCATCGGGTTTCCAATCCACATTTGGCACGGGGAATTTTGTGGCGAGGGCCATGTAAAAAACACGTTTTTACGATTGTGAATATTGTATTTATTGATTGGCAGCCATGAACGTATAAATTAGTTGCATTAAGTTAGTCGGGCTCTATTTTGCCCAGTTAGGAGTCCACAGAGACAAAAACTCTGCCAGGGAGACCGAGGGTCATTGCATGGATCCCAAAGAAGGCAAGAGTTTTGAAATGTGTTACAAAACCAAAGTAATAAAAAATCAGCACCGATATTAATCATGCAAATTCGAAATTCTTCTTCATATACAAAAAATAATTTGATGTATTAAATCGTTGTTACTCCACCTCAACCTATTATCCTGTCTGGGGCCAGGATAATCGGTTGAATTTCAACTTTGTGGGAAATCGACAACTTGCCCCTTGCCATGACAATTGAGAATGTGCAGCTCCCATCGCTAGCCTGGGGGGACGTCGTTTACGAACAGCACCACCACCATTACCTCAAAGTCTGCATTAGCACTTTCACATTTGGCCTCCTTATGATTCATAATTAGTTACTTTTGGGTCAAATCGTGTCAGTCCAATGACATTTTTCAGCTTTACCCTACCCGTCACCCTACAGTGCCACTCAAATCAAGTTGCCACATGGTGGGCAAATGTGCCAACTGATTTTGCTTTGACAAGCGAGCAAAGTTGTTTACGATTTTGTCCGACGTTTTGCTGGAGATTACAACCAGCATCATCAGGCGTAAACGGAGGCTCGGCTGTATACCGGAGGGTAAATCCGAAAATTGGCATTGTACATTACACTGGATCTACGCCAAAATTAACCAATTACGGAGTGTAAAATGTATCGTGAAAGCCTACGAGTAAAATTCACCCATGCGGTATTATTATTGTTAACTACCACTGTATTGTTTGAAGCACAAATTCCTGACGAACAATAATGTCCTTTCGTGTCTGATGCAGCTGTGGATGTGTCCTACCTGCTGGAAGAGGGCGCGGGGAAGAGGCTCCGAAGGCACGCCCAGGCCACCACCGGGCTATTTGCACTAAAGTGACATTTTTTTTGTAGAGGCCCCCCCCACCCCAGCGGTTAGTGGGGGGGGGTGGGAGTTTGGGGGGGGTCAGACGGCCAAGACAGTGCCTTGTCACGGACGAGGCGTGCCACGCCGAAAACATTGTCACCAACAACGCGCTCAGAACCAGCGGAACAAAGAGGAGGGCGAAGCAGGAGAAAAATGCAAAGCGGCTTCCGATGGTCTTTCGCGATGGAGGGATGGGCCCAGCTGTGGACATCCTCACGCGTGGCTCTCACGGACAGGGACGTCCCACCTCGGTCGCAGTTGGCGGCTCTCACCCTTTGGTTCGAGCAGAAAGGCCGAGGGCCCTCGGAGTGTTCAGGGACGCGCGCGCTGGCCTGCGCCCGTATCACACTGTTGGGTCAAAGTTCGTGCGTGGTGCGTTCACAAAACATGCCTTGGTTCGCGCGCCCCGTCCAGCGTTGGTGAACGGCACTCGCCCAAAGGCACCCGCCACGCGTGCTACGGATCGATGTGCGGGCGCTTCGAGATGTCTGCAGGAAATGGTGAAGGTCATCCCAGCTTGACGATGTGTCGTCGTGGAGCGGTCTGGGTTTGCGCAGATCTCCTAGAAGGTCGCTTTCAACAAAAAAACTTTACACCTTTTCTCGTGACGAGTGAAAAAGATGCGAACGAAGAGATGCGGTCCAGAGGAGGAATGTCGCTCCGCGATGTGCACGGAGAGAGAAGTGTTATTATCGTCGCCATCGTCGTCGTCGTCATCGCAGGCACTGCCGATCGAGAGCGTGTCATGTCACGTGTTTCCGTCCGTGCGTGTGTGCGCCCACCCCCCGACCCCCCGTCTCCGCACCAGTGGCGGCGACGTCGTGTTTCCTTAGCAGTATTCGCAGCAGTACAGTATTTATTGTATTCGGAGTTCGCGCGCCAGGCGAAGACTAACGATGAACTTGGGGGGGAAGAGCGCAGACGCAGCCGGCTTCTAGAGCCGCGCGCTCTCGTTCGAAATTCGCTTCGAGGCTCGCGGCCTCTCGCCAGCTCAGTCGCAGGCGACGGAACGGCCGCCTCTCGGCACCCCCCCCCCTGCCCCCCACCCTGCCCCCCACCCCTGCCCCCCACCGATGATGTTTGTGCATGGTTGTACATAGGTAGTGGGACCGCACGTAGGCAGTGGGTCTCTTTTCATCCCACTTTGCAGTTTTGTACCAGAACTAAAGAAAGGCTTCTTTTACATCGTATTTTATTATCGAAGAAGAGATTGTTTTCTTGTCTATTTTCCTATCTTGAAGCAAAACTGTTTACTGTACAGCTGTGTGTAGAGTATCAGATACTCACTAATTGTGTTTTCTTTGCTTTTTATTTTTTGACGTTTCATTTTGTGCCTTTTTCTTTTGTAATTAGTCTCGTCTGGGCGACAGTGTCAAACACTAGCCGGTCCTGTTTGGAAAAAAAAACTAAAACAAAAGTTATATTTTTTGTTGCAGAGCAAATAAATGTTAGACAATCACTCCTGGAGTGTAGCATTGTCTTGTCCAGCAAACGCATAAAATAATTAAAGGAAGGCAATTTTATATTTAGGGTTAGAGTAAAAAAAAACATTAGCAATATTACAAAATGTTCATCGCCAATAATAAAAACAAATAAAATGTACCATGTGTGATTGCAGTTTGTTTGTCATCGTAAGTGTTGAATGTTAGGGAGTCTCGATGGTTTATTTAGGCCGTCTGAATATTAGAGGGGAAATGCCAGCCTGTGTTGGCCGCAAGGTGGCTCGGAGATGGCAGTGTTTAGTGTTACTCCCCTTGTATGCGTGGCTTTCTCCAGATGCTCACGTTTTCTGCCACATGACAGACAAGCATTAATGATATTAAAGAGAGTCCTTGAGACTCCGTGAGGCTTTTCTGGATAATTAAGTTTGGTGTCTTTACTTGACATAAAATAATCTCAGGTCTCAGCCATAATATACTGATATTATTAACACTGCCTCCTAACAGGGCACATTTATTGTTGAGATAATGACCACTGCCCGAAACGTTTGTGTCTTCTATAAATTTTCGTTATAAATCAGTATCAAATTCAAGCATGGTGGAGTGTATATATTTTACCTTGTGCACCGCTGACAGCCACCATAATCCGTTTGCTAACAAGGTTCGTCTTGGTCACAATTATCCATATCTTTACTCATACTCTTTGGTTCTTTCGGTAAAGTCGCGTAGTTAGAAATAAAATAAAACAAATCACGACGTTTCGATCGCAACACAAGCGGTCGTCATTAGGCTCACGAAAGCTTCAAATCAAGATTATCCATATCTTGTTTAAAATACGCCGCCTCCTTAGTACACATCTGACCCTGCGCATAAACACAATAACTGTTTACACATCCCACCAGCCACAATGCAGCAGTGCAAATAAGTTGCAGCATCCTTGATTGAATAGAAGCAAACGTTGTTATTTTTTGTAGAATCTTGTTTACGTTGTTCAAATGAAAGCATTGCCCTATCCTTGTCCCTTAGTAAATAGGTTCTTGCGCACTGTCGTCAAGGAATCTCGCTGATTAAATGTATGCCCCACGACACCAGGAGTTTTGATGGCATGGCCAGACAGATGATGTCACTGAACGGGTTTGCAGTGTTGGCCACACCGCCGTCTTGAACCAACTTTCGGGGTTTGTCCACCACAACATGTTAAGCACGTGTGCTCAGAGCTGTAATGAGCATATTCGCATTTTGCTTGTGTTATCAAATTGGTGTTTCTTCAGAATGAGGCCTCCCAATATATAAATGATGCCATTGTTTTCTCTCCAAAGCTTTCATTACATCACTTTTAACTGCTGCTGCTGTAGCGCGTGTGTGTGCGTACCTATGTGTGTGTGTGTGTGCACGCGTGAGAGAACGAGGTGTTTATTGGCCAGAGGTTGCCATTCTGCTTCGCGTAAGGGCCCTCGTTGAAAAGCGGGGTCTGTGCTTTTTTTATTTTGGGGGAAAGTGGGGGGCGCGAAATGACCTCCGCCGCGCTTTCCCGCAGAAAATTAATGAATTGCTTGATTAATGGCACTGCTCACAATTAACAGTTTTTGGAATAAGAATGTGCTCTTCGCCCGCCGTGGGAGCTGGGCGGTGCCGGGGAATGTGGCCGACATTAAACACGAAATTCTCGAGGCAAGCCGTCGCGTATTCACAACGCGTTGCGGCACATTACGTGGGTTCGCTCAATAACTACCGGTAATTAAAAAGGTTGAAAATCTGCCAGGGTTTTATGACAGGTCATTAAAGGCTTCTCGCTTGCAAGTTCTGCCCAAGTCATCTTTAACCTCCTGGCATGATTTATTGCTCACTGCTGCATTGGCAAAATTAATGTGCACGCAGAGTGCCAGAAACACAATAAATTCCAGATTGCCAAGTGTGAATTCTGTGGCATCGTGCCCAGATTACTGTATCAGCGGGAGTTTATTATTTTTATTTTAACAAGGGCTTTTGTCCATTTAGGCTTTTTTTAATCCCTTCTGGCAAACTATGTTCATCAGCTTTGGCAGGGACCCACAACGCACTATCGTAAATAAGAATCTGATATAAGTGCTGTTTATGTTAATCCTTGGAATCACAGTAACGTTTATGAATGACCATTGCTGTATGCAATTTAAATGTTAGCCATGCATCATTGTATTCATATTCATTGCTATGAGGCCAGACAATATTCTTGGATGATTTGGCTTTTTCAACAGGCAAACAAATAAAAAAAACTTATTACAATGGATGTACAAAGGGAAGTTGACAATTTATTTTTTACTCAAATGTGCTCCGAGGCTTTATTGTGTTTTGGACACAGTGCAGACTTTGGAGAAGTCATAAATAAATAAAAATCACAACAGCCCTGCCATCTCCCACCAAGAGCCTTCCTGCCAGCTGCTCTCTGCGAAGCAGTCTTGACAGAAATATATTTGGCAAGCCGTACAAGACCTTTGAAAGAAACATAATTCGTGAGGCTTTTTCACGCACCATTACAGCGCCATTAAAGTGCCTGTGAGTTTGGTCGCTGAAACATAATCCATTTGTAGCATAATTGTTTTTTGTTGGACTGGTTATGATTGTTTTAAATATCCACACACATGGACACACTCGGACGCACACACGCAAGGCTCTATCTCCCCATCGTTGAGGATGGTGTGTGTATGTGTTGGCCATCGCCTATCAGGGCCATTTCACTTGGCCTGTTTGAAATAATCTTAGTTTGGCGATAATTTTGAGAAGGCCTTAAATCAATGACGTTCGGAGTGCAAGACGGACGACAGAGAGATGATGGCTGTGGAGAAGCAAGAGGTCGACGTAATTCTCATGGCCTGTGAATGGAGACTTTAAGGGCAGTCGTTAATGCTCCAGATAAGAGGTTTGTGCCTCCCACAGCTTGCAATGACTAGAACTAGGCCTCTGCTCAATGTCTGAGAAACCAAGAGAAAGTCTGGTAAAAACAAAAAAAGCTCAAATTAAGGTGGGGATTGGTGGGGCACATACCGTGCCATGAACCATATGATCACAATTCCATTCCTGGCCAAGGCTAACATCAGTGGCAAGTGGTGCTCTCCTAATTCACAATTACTGTTGTGGTGAGGTATGATCAGCCACCATGATCGACATGATGTAGGGAGGCTTTCATCCAGCAGTGTATTGACAATAATATCTAGAAGCCTGGGACACTTTGGATCAATGGGTGCGACTCTGAAAGGGAATTATGAAGCTGCACCACTGCTCTTGTATCCATAATATTGTTTTTTGGGTTAGATCGCATAAATATAAATGTGTCGTTAAACCAGCCACCACCCGACACAGCCAATTAGTAAGGTTTGTCACGTAAACAGAACGTGCCAATTCGTGACTAGAACAGCACACCGGTGTGTTGGAGAGCAAATCCACAACATTTACAATCTGAGTGCGACGTTTCGCCAGTAATTACAACTAGCTTCATCAGGCGACAGCCAGAATTACTTATGCGATCTAACCCAAAAAAAACGATATTATGGATGATATTGGTCGCGAAAGCCTCAGTGTTAAACTGACTGCTCGTTTTGTTTACTCTTCAGGTGACGAGCCACTTTCCAAGTGC